CTCATACACTCGGGTCATTCTTCCTTTTGAGGAATACGAGGCTAAGAATGCGTCCAAGGAGGCCAGCAAGGCACCCCTTTCTGTCAGCAAAGCACCTCAGCCGATTCCTTCCAAAGCTCCCGCCGTCGAAGAGAAGCAGCTATCAAGCGTTCCGCTTAAGCCCATGGATATCAGCCCGCCGGAAAGTCCCTTGACAGCCACCTCGAGCCCTTTGTCTGAGCCGCCAGAGGATGGAGAGAGGGCAACTGAAAAGACTGCTGCTGCTGCTGCTGCTGCTGCTGCTGGCAGACCACGGCGTAGTACGAGAATGGGTATGTGAGCTCGACCGCGGCTGTAATTTCCGCTAAGGTTTGCCAGGGTCGAAAACTCCGGGGCTCGGCAGACTGCAGGTCTCGCCGTTGCCTGTTCCAACCTTCCACGACGGCAAGGATCTTAAAGGATCTCTCGAGGTTCGTGCCTTGTCAATGCTGTTATCTCGTAGGCTGACGTTGTGCAGCAAAACTGCGAAATATGTCATAAGAAGAATCGTGGTGAGGAGATGCTTCTTTGTGACGGATGTGACTGTGGCACGTCGTTTTGTGTTTTCGTCACCCAGGCATACGCTGATTAGATTTCGAACTAGGATTCCATATGTTCTGCCTCGATCCTCCATTGGATGCGATTCCCAAAGAGCAGTGGTTCTGTTACACGTGTCTCGCTGGCACGGGCGGTGACTACGGTTTCGACGAGGGCGACGAACACAGTTTATCCAGCTTCCATGCTCGGGATAACGAATTCCGGCGTGTGTGGTTCGAGTCTCATCCGCCCATGAGAGACCCCGATGCGTTGGAAATCGATGACCCCACGTCCAGTCGCATTGGGAATGTGACCGTGTCCGAGTACGATCTAGAGATGGAGTTTTGGCGATTAGTGGACACGCAGGAAGAGACCGTCGAGGTTGAATATGGCGCTGACGTCCACTCGACCACCCATGGAAGGTGGGTGTGATAGTAGTAGGCACAGCAGACCTCTGGGACTGAAGCTATGCCAGTGCGATGCCTACGATGGAAACCCACCCGTTGAACAGTTACGCAACGGACCCTTGGAATCTCAACAACATTCCCATTGTCTCTGACTCGCTGCTACAATACATCAAGTCGGATATCTCTGGGATGACGGTTCCTTGGACCTACGTTGGCATGACCTTCTCAACTTTCTGCTGGCATAACGAGGTACGCTGCGTCGCACGACATCCCGCGATTGTGCCTATCAAGGTTTCCAGGATCATTACACCTACAGCATCAATTTCATGCATTGGGGAGAAACCAAGACTTGGTACGGCATCCCAGGTGAAGACGCGGAACTGTTCGAGGCTGCTATCAAGTCCGAGGCGCCGGATTTGTTCCAGGCCCAGCCGGACCTGTTATTCCAGCTTGTCACGCTGATGAACCCGAAGCGGGTGACAGATGCTGGCGTCAAGGTGTATGCGTGCAATCAACGGGCCGGCGAATTCGTCATTACCTGCCCCAAGTCCTATCATGCGGGATTCAATCACGGGGTCAGTCTCTGCTAAACATAGAAGAAAAAGGGTCATCCAGCTGATTCGGTCCCTTTTGCAGTTCAATTTCAATGAGGCTGTCAACTTTGCCCTCCCGGATTGGCTCAAGTACGGCAAAGAATGCGTCCAGCGCTATCAGGACCACCGAAAACTGCCCGTGTTCTCGCACGACGAGCTGCTGATCACGATCTTCCAGCAATCGCAGTCGATCAAGACTGCCATTTGGTCAGTGGTCCATGCGTCGTGTCTTGACTGTATTATATTGAGATCTTCCCTCCCAGGCTGTACGACAGCCTCGCGGAAATGACGGAACGCGAGATCAACGATCGGCAGACTGCACGTGGTCTGGGAATGACTGAGATCCTGGAAGAGGAGGACCGGCCAGAAGACCAGTACCAGTGCACGACCTGCAAGGTGTTCTGCTATCTGTCACAGATCACGTGCGGGTGCAAGTCCGCAGCGATCGCCTGCATCCAGCACACGCACCTCGTTTGCGAGCGGCCCGGAGAGAAGTCGCCGGAGCACTTGATTCTGCGCAAACGGTTCCCTGACGAGTACCTGAAGGATGCACTGGCTGCTGTGGCCCAGCGGGCGGCGATCCCCGAAACATGGCGCGCCAAGCTGTCCAAAGTGTTGCAGGAGAGCCGCCGGCCGTCGCTGCGTTCCCTGCGCGCACTTGCGTCCGAGGGCGAGCGGATCAACTACCATCTGCCGGAGCTGGTATCGCTGCGGCGATGCGTGCAGCGCGCCAACCAGTGGGTCGAGTCGGCGAACAGCTTCCTGATGCGCAAGACGCGAGCTCGGGGTGGCCGACGGAGTCGCGGACGGTACTCGACGGGCATCGATGCGGAGATTGACTGGCCGGAGAAGCGACTGGAGGAGCTGCGCGCTCTGCTGCGCGACGTCGAAACGCTGGGTTTTGACTCGTCTGAGATCGCCGGATTGCAGGCGCTGGGGGAGACCGCCGAGAAAACACGGCAGGAAGCAAGCGCTCTGCTGCTGAAGACGGTCCCGGAGGATGATGGGCAGCGGGACGAGTACATCGAGAGCTGCAAACGGATCGTGACGGATGGGGCGTCGTTGAATGTGCTGTTGGACGAGGTGGTGCAGCTGGACGGGCTGGTCAAACGGGAGCGGCTGATCGCTGTGCTGGAGAACTCGCTGGACGACGACATTGGGATGGACGAGTGCCGCGATCTTCTGGAGCGGGCGGCTCAGTGCGGAGTGCCGATGGACCACCCGCAAGTGCAGCAACTGCAGGCGCGGATGGAGGCAGGTTGTTCATGGGAGGACCGGGCCCGCGCGCTGCTCGAGAAACCCATCAAGACGATCGCCGAGCTAACCGAGGCGTCGCGGCTGGACGACACGGTTTCGACGAGCAACAAGGTCTACCGGGAGATCATGGCGCTGCTGAACAAGGCCAAGGATTTCGAGCGCCAGGCATTTGCATGGCTGACACCTACGGAATCGGATCATGTGCGTCCGAAAGGGCAGGAGGTGATCCGACTGGCAACGCGAGCGGAGCGGGAGTTCAAGATCGAGATCATCGACAATCTGCGGCAGACTGCGGTGTTTGCGCTGGATCTTGAGAGCCAGTGCGAGGCGGCGCTGCACAACAAGGCGATCGTGGCGAAGGACATGACGTCATTCGCGCTGATCCTGAAGTGGCGGGAATATGCGCATGCGCATTTGCACATGTTCACGCTGCCGTGGTTCAGCCAGCTGGATGCGCAGCTCGAGGCGCACTTTGCGTGGGTCAAGACGCTTCCGTGGTACTGCCCCGAGCACGAAAAGCTGGAGTGGAAGTCGCTCGTGGAAGACGTGATCGAATGCACGAGGCCAGAGGAGGATCTGCCCCCGACGGCGGAGTGGTTCACCTGCATCTGCACCGAGCCCGTGAAGCCGCCGCCGGCGGGGCAGTCGTCGGATGCGGTGCAGTGCGACCACTGCTATGCCCGCTTCCACGGCGCGTGCGCGAACAACGGGGGCTCGTGTCCCTTCTGCGACTACCACCACTGGAACGGGTCGATCCACAAAGACCGCAGCTGGCATTTTGCGCACCTCGGGCCGATGCTGCTCAGCGCGCCGGAGCTGACGAAGAACTACTCGGACGAATGGAAGCAGCTTGAGATGGTCGTGCACCGGGTGGACCGACTGGCTGGGGTGATCGGGCAGTTCCTGGCGTACACCAAGGACCACGAGCCCCGACAGCCCGACCACCTGCCGCAGGTGCGGCATTTTATGCGGAAGCTGTACAAACTGCAGTTCGCGGTCGCGCCGGCCGCGGACACGTCGTTCGGGCTGGAACTGGCCGGGCTGCACCGGATTCTGGCGCTGCGCAAGGGCCCGGTGAACGAGCGGCACGCGGCGAAGCTGGCGGCGCGCAAACGCGAGAAGGAGCTGATGCAGGCGCGCAAGAAGCGGCGGGTCAAGTTCACCTTCGGGCAGGACGTGGATGTGAACTGGAAGGACGGGACGCGCTGCATCTGCCGGGGGCGCACCCCGTACCTGCTCAACTACCCGCCGGTCACGTGCGACATGTGCAACCGCAAGTACCACGCGGGCTGTGTGTTCTTCCCGGACGATAGCAAGGACGGCGCGCGCTTCCACTGTCCGGTGTGCATGACGAAGAAGAATCTGGTGTATCCGTACGCGGAAGTGAGGATCCGGCCACCAGGTGTGTGTGTTTTCCCGGTGTTCGTCGTCGTCGATCGCAGCTCATTCGTTGGGAACAGCTGAACTGCGACAGCCGACCGACCAGTACGTCGATGCGCCGAAGATGATCGAGCAGAGCACGAAGGAGCTGATCTTCAAAACCTTGGGCATGCCATACACCAAGACGCTCTTCCTCGAGGTCGTCAAGGTCGACGTGCACGTGTCCTCGTCCGCCTCGTCCTCATCAGCGTCGGCGTCCCACGCCCGCTCGGTGTTCCGCCCCCAGCCCTACCGACACCCACACGCCCGTGCAGAAAGCTCCGCGCCGGCGACGCCGCCGCTCGCGATCGCACCACCACCGTCCGCATCCTCATCAGCGTCCATGGGGAACTACTTCCCGCCGCCCCCACCGCCGCCGCCGATCCGGTCGCCCGGGGACGCCGTGGCCGCGCTGGACCGGAAGCGCAAGCTGATGGAGCACCAGCACCAGCAGCCGCACGTCGCGCGGCCGGCGCCGGCGAGGACCCTGGAGGAACTGCATGCGTTCGAGGAGCCGGTGACGATCTACCCGAAGCGCGAGCAGCTGGGCAGCAAGCCGCTGTCGCCGTCGCTCGCGAAGATCGTGCTGCGGTAGCGCGAGCGGCGTTGACGCATGAGTTATAACTATATCTGTCTCTTACTTACGTCGTTTTTTGTTTTCGTGCTGTTTGTATCCGTTAATGTTATGCTCCGTGGTTATCTTGTTGTTGGGTGGAATGGATGTGGATGGGGGGATTGATTTTGTGCGGGATTGGGCTGTATCCGGCGATTTCGTACGAGCTTAAAAACGTTCTCCAGTCTCACGTCGATAAGCCACTTCCAAACGTCGTTCAATAAGCGCCAGCGCTTCATATCTACACATCACAGGATTTTGAAATAATGAGATAAAAATTCGGCATCGCGCCAGCTCCCATTTTTTTTTGTTCCTCCTTCCCGAGTTGTTCACACCTTGCCTGCGATGAACGCCGCCGCGCTCGGGGTGTCGGCGCCGTACGTCCTGCGAAAACAAACATCAGTACTCAGTCCCAGTCAGCAACGCGCGCTCATCCGCCGGACGCCGGGACGCACAGGTGGGGCTCGAGGACGAGGTCGCCGTGCAGGCAGATGTCGTCGCCGGCGTGGCACACGACGTGCGTGCGCAACGCGCTGACGCCGCTCACCGCGGATCCGTTGTCGGGGTCGCCCTGCGCCGGAGGAGCGTCAGTTCGTTCTGGGACTCGGGGACGGGGAGACGCACGAAGATGACGGCGGCGCTGATGCGCGCTTGGACCGCGGGCGAGAGGAGGCGCGCGGAGTTGTGCACGAGCTGGCCGCCCTGGCTGTACCCCGCCGTCACGAGCGCGGCCTGTGGGGCGCGTATTCAGATTCACTTGAGCGGTATCCCGCGCGGGGAGGAGATACGGACCTTGGGGCACGCACTAGCCGCGCTGGTCAGCTACAAGCACGCAGTCAGCCACTCAGCAGAACAGAGCAGAGCAGAGCACAACACCGCGCGCCACTCACGTCGTTCGCCATGGCGCGCGCGCCCTGCGGGTCGCCGCCCTCGAGGAACCCGAGGACGTCCGCGGCGTAGGCGACGCCCGCGAACGCGAGCGTCAAGTTCCCCTTCGCGCGCAGCGCGCGCTGGAGCGCGGCGGCGAGCGGGGGGCCGACGAGGGTGCCGATGGGCGCGGGCTCCGTCGTCCCGCGCGCGAAGAACACCTGCGGGCGGTCAGCGTCGGAGCGGGGGCCCCGGGAGGGGAGAGTCAACGCGCCATGACGTCCGCGCACGCGGCGCGCGGCGCTGCGCTCGTCGGCAGTGCGTGTGCGCAGAGCTGGACGAGGGGCGCGAGGCCGCAGAGGAGCGCAGACAGCTTTTGGGACTTCATGGCTGGGGAGAAACTCGGAGGAGGTATTGGGGTCTGCACGACGCGTCTGCGCGCGCTTTTATATGTAGCCGTCCGAGCAGGGGAGAGTGCCTCCGTCCGTCCACAGCATCGCTCGACAGCGAAAGTCTGGACTGAGCATATCAGCCCCGGATGCTGACCTCCTCGATGGCGAGAATCAAATCAGAACCCACCACTGAGCGGTCACAGGTGCAATCTCGCGCCCGATCCGCACTCGCCTACCGCGTCCCCTCGCAGGCACCCATTCAGAGAAACAAAAGCTTGCTGGCCGTCAGCAGCCTTTAAGCTCCAGTGTGCGCTCGAATGCGAATACGCCCGGTGCCTCTCGCTCGACGCGCGTGGGATGGCACGCCCGGCTGCTGTTTCTCGGCGTCAGAACCAGCCCGTATTCTGCTCAGCAGCAGGTCCGCCCGGCCGCCGACCACAGGGACAGGAGTCTATCGGTATCGGGGCGCTGTCTAGAGTCCTCTGGACTGGCGAAGGGAGAGGGGAATTAAAGATGCTGTATGTACATGGTTTCTACGGCAGCCCAACCTTCTTCTTTCCAAGTTTGAGTTGCCCTGGACGTAACGCATATAGACCCTGTGATACATTGAGATCCTGCTGCAGATCTGCAGAGCGCGAGAATATTCCGAAAACTCAGTCCTCGCAGGCGATCAATCGTCAAATCAATCGAACTCAAAATGGTCGGTCAAAGCCAGGATATTGATGGTAAATAGGGTTAGGGTCAGAGCTAATAAGGAACCAAAAAAAAAAGTCGAGGCCCGCCTAGCCGAGTGGCCGTGGCGGAACAGGAAAATATTGAGACGGTGCATGAGCCGAAGCCCATACAAACCGCAGGCCCACTCTGAATGGACAGGGTCGCCGTGCTATGGAGTGTTCCCACGGCCCAAAAGCCCAGGTCCATGAAGGAGCTTATGCCATCAAGGTAAGTATGCGGAACCAAATGTTGGCAGGTGGATTATATACCCCGAGGGTGTGCACGGACCAGGTCACGTTATCTCAGACACGTGAGCTTCGTTAGATATGACGTATTAGCCCTATAGAATCATGAAGTAGACGCGTTTCTGCAGGTTGCTTCAAGAGAACACGGGCGTTCAAGTTATGTGGCATATGTAAGTATATGATATAACCCGTATTTGGAACACATCACAAGACTGATTCCCGCGCACATACGTTTCCAGGCATGCTTTTCTCCGACCGCTAGGCTCATTCGGCAGACATGCTGCAGGCGCAGCGAACGCGGAGCAGGTCAAGCAAGCCATGAAAGTTTAAGGATGCATACTAAGTACTAGAAGTTGGCGTCACGTCGCGTGATGTGTGATGAAACGCGCTGCCGACCACTGGACTCAGGCTGACTCGGATGGTAGTGTATTCCCGAGCTCGCAGGTTCAATGCGCGACACATCCTGAGACTCTGGAAGCCCGCGTCTGGTCGTTGCCTGGCACTCAAGGTCTGCGCGCCGTTGGAAATCAGCTAGTGTGGGAATCCTCCTCCAAGAGATCGATCCATCTGCTCTGCCACGTCCTCAGACCGCGGCGCTCGAGACGACACCCCGGAAAACTCAGGGCTGGGTTGATTCGACCGTGAGGGCGGGCATGCACCGCCCGGACCGAACGTGCGCACTTCCTTCCTCTCCTCTCCCTTCGCGATGGTGTGCGCGACGGACGACACGGACGGCCTGTGAGCGGCCGCATCGCATCGCCCGCCGGGCACGTTCTGCGTTCTGCGTTCTGCGTTCTGCGCGTCGCGGCAGACCCTAGAGAGCACGTCGATCGGACACACACACGCGAGATCGAGATCAGGATCTCGACGGGGCGCGCCGCGCGCGTGTGTGTGTGTGGCGGATTGAGCCTAGTCTCATCGTGCTGGTGCTGTAGCAACGATCCGCCTGCCCGTGCTAGTGTCAACATGAGACAGGGCAGGGCAGGGCAGGGATTCCCGCGTTCGCGAGGTGGGGACGGGCGGCGTGGCTGGTGGTGTCCCGGTCTCGACGCATCACACGTGTCTGCACTGCACTGCACCTGGAGGCTAGGAGGCTACCCACCAAACGAGACTGATCCATTTACATTTCCCGGCGCACCCGGGCTGTGCACGCACGTTCCATCAGGGCTTCAGCGCGCTGTCTGCAGCCTGATTGGGTGTTTCGCTGGCTGGCTGCCAGACGGCGGTCAGCCTGCGTCTCTATTTGGCGAGACGATGACTCTGACGTGTGTGTGTGTGCGGCGCTGGTGTCGATCATCGTCCGCTGGTTTCGCGGGTAGGAGCGGCGGAGGAGGGTGCCCGGGATGCGCAGGCTACAAAACGGGCTTGATTGCGCTGGCCCGGATGTGTACCGCTAAGCACTTAATTGTGATGATCGTCTGCGTTCATTTATCGCGGGAGCGTGCCGCAAGGACAGCACAATTTGGCTTCAATTGGAATTTGGATTGGATTGGAAAGACCAAACTCGTGCCGAGCCGCGTCAGCGTCAGCCTGGGAGCCCGGCGGCATCCATCCCCACCCAGATGATACATACATAAGCGGACGTTGGGAGTTCGCGCAGGTCGGCAATGTCTCGGCCCGATATTCGAACCGTGCGAATCTGCCGCCTGGTGCTGTCTCTCTCCGCGCCAATGTTCACGCCATGCCCGGTCCAATCCTACGCGGTCTCTACAGCCCGGGGGCCTTCGAAGTTCCCAGCCAAGCGGGCGAAAATAGCTTGCATTGTACACGATAGCAAAGATAGCTCGATTTCACGTTCGTAGCGCGTTCGCCTCACACTCACACTCACGTTCTCCTCCTGATACATGATGCGCTTTCTGCTCACACGACCTGGCTGACCTTGCCCGAGCGCACGTCGTAGATCCACCCCGTGACGACCGTGCCGGGCAGGAGCAGCGGCTCGCCCCTGGCCCACGCGACGTCCTCCTTGACGGACTCGGTGACGTCGGCGAACTCGAGGAACTCGAGCGCGTCGACGCGCGGCGCGAGCTCCGGCGCGGCGTGCGCCTTGATGTCCGCGCGCAGCTGCGCGGTGCTGAACGTGAGCATCCCGCACTCGGTGTGGTGGAACACAGCGATCTCGCGCGTGCCCAGCAGGCGCTGCGAGACCAGCAGGCTCCGCAGCGAGTCTTTCCTGCGCGCCGGTTAGGCTGGTCTGAGATCAATGTGGAGGGCGGGTAGTCTGCTCACGCAATCCCCCCTGCGTTGCGGATCACGTGGGCGTCGCCTTCCGCGAGCCCGAGATGCGCTGCGGGGCTGTTTGCGGCGATGTTCAGTAAAATGCACAGCGACGGGTCGGGTGGTGCTTACTTGAGTCTAGCGTCCATGCAGGTCACTGGCACCACAACCAATATAATTCAGTACCGCGTCGATCCCCGTCTGTCCATGGACTCGGACTTACCGATAGCGATCTTCTTCGCAGGCGGGATAGGAAGCAGGCTCTTGTCGCCGAACGTCTCGACGTACGGCGCGTTCTTCGCCTCAAAGCTCGAGTGCACCGGGGCTTGGGACATCGTGCAAGTTGCTGCTGTGGTGGTGGTTAGAACAGAGACGAGGTGTGAGTATGCACGACCCACGGGCCATAGCCCATATCACACTAGAATGACGCGATTGGCTAGAGAGGGTGGAGACTGGCGAGCCTTTTGCGGCCTTGGGAAGTCGGGGTAGCCTCGGTGAGTGTATAATATCATCATCAGGTCACGATCCCAAATGCGTTACATTAGCAAGTTAAGTGGTATGTAGCATGAGCGATGGACTCAGCCTAAGAAGTGTTCGCGATTCAGCGACTATTACACAGAGTGTACGGTAGTTTACATCCAAATAAACGGGCCCTTAGAATCAGATATCCAAAATTGCTCCAGTCCGTCCGTTGGTCCCACGCCCCGTTGCCGACGACAGTGGGTTTTATATACACCTGACGGTGACTCGATCACGACCGAGATAGCCGAGGGAACGCTGTTGTGGGCCCCGACCTTCCATAAGGAGATGCTGCCCCGCGCGCTTAGCAGGCACTCGCACCACCCGCGCTCGACGACGCCTGCAGTTGCAGTGTACTGGGGTCCACGCTCCCCATGGTCCACGCACGCCCGCGCCACCCGAGCACGACCGTGCCCGCGCGGATCAGCTCGCTCAGGCGGTGGTGCTGGCGCGCGGCCGTGAGGAACAGCGACGTGCCGAGCACCCCGCGGGCTCGACGGGCAGCTGGCACCGCCGTCGCGTAGCATCTGTCACCCGCGGCTGGGGAGGTAGCAGTGCAAGTCCGCCGGACAGCAGACACGGAGCCATGTGCAGCAGATTCGGCGTCTGCCGACTCTAGCTCGATTCGCTTCAGCGCCGGATTAATTGCAACGGAGAGCATCGCCGGGGCCCAGACTGCCGGCATCGGTGTCCGGAGGGTATGCATTTCGGGAGCGATTGCGAGGGCTTCGACGAGCCGTGAGAGCGCTGCATCGGCGGAGAGCGGGAACGCGAGAGCTACGGATTCCTGGAGATAGCGTATCAGTTGCCAGCGCTAGGGCAAGAAGCAGAAGCAGAAGCACGCATCACGTACCAGTGACCGACAGGTTTCCACGACACCGGCCAGCGCATCCAATGTTGATCTAGGGCCCGGCTGGGAAAGATAGGTATTCGAAGCCTTCCTGATCGTGAGCTTCCGAAGTGTCGAGATACGCCCAAGCGATTCGGCGACCCCAGGACAGGTGCGTGCACTCGCATCTCCGCGGTCGCCCAGCAGCGTGACATCGAGCACATGCAGGCCCCCGTGTTGACACAGCAGCTCGACGATCTCCGCGTCCACAGCATTAGGCGCCGGGAGCACCAGGGTCTTCACAAATCCGGCTGCGGCAGGACGAGTCTCGAGCGCGCGCAGGAAGTTGGCTGATTGGGAGGGGGTGCACAAGACGGCCGTCTCGTAAAATAGCGGGAGAGAGATACGATAGAATTGTTGGGATACAAGCAGAGGAGCGAGTCGAGTCCGGATGTCCTTCGCGGCAGCGGGCTGGTGCCAGGAGGGGCGTGTTCTGGGTGTCGCAGAACCGACGACGACGTGCGCGAGGATGCACTCGAGCAGCTCTTCGGGGAAGGTGGATAGTTGAACGAGCGCCATGGGGGGAGAGATCAAAAAGCAAAGCGATATACAAGAGACACGGCTGTGCAGCTGCAGAGGTTTTAACTTAAGTAAGAAGGAAGGGAAAGGAGATGGTCGGAAGGAAGCAGTCTGAGACAACGTAAGATGAGACCCATTAGACAGCCGGATTATCGCCACCGCCCATCACCACGCGTCTCCGTTGGGTCTAAGACCCACTGTCCAGGCGCAATCTCTGCTTCTCCCGGATAAGCTGCAGTGAGAACTCAAGTGACCCGTTGCTTGTCATCGAGCCGTCCTTAAACTCGACATGCAAATAAGCCAGAACCATTCAAGCCCGAGGCAGCATATTATTGGGGTGCACCGTGCAGGCTGTTATGTACGCAGCACCGCAGGCATGCTTTCAAGGGTGAAGGTGTGGAGAGTGGGTTGTGTACGCAAGAGAGACAAATAACCGATCCCTGGGGTCGGGCTCAACGGGCTCCACGGCCAAAAAAAGTGCACTTGTTTGGGGCACGTGTTCGGTGCACCCTCTTTCGGACTTCCAGCATGGAGGCCAAGTTCTCCCTGGACAATATCCTTGGGGAAGACCACGAGCGTATAGAGACCGTCGGAGATGGGACGGCGGCTGCTCTAGACACGGAGGAGGATGGAATGAACGCCGAGCCGGTCGAGGAGGGCATGTGCGTCGAATGCGAAGGTGCCGCAACCTCCCAGATCGCTCTCGACTTCTATTCACGGCACTCCGTACTTATTACCACTAGACCAGCCTGCTGAGATTCGGTGTGAAAACTGCGAGGACGTCTTCTGCGAAGTGTGTTTTGCATCGCAGCACCGCAAAGGCACGCGTAAGCTACATGCGGCAAAACCCCTGCGCGCGCCAGGGCACGCGTCATCGTCCAACGGGACGGACCCGGCTCCCCACTCGGCGGTGGCGGCGGATGCGGATACGGTGGGTGCTGATGAGCTCGTTCGACGGCCCCCCGCGTGTTGATCGCGTCTGAGCAGATGGAAACGGAGCCTGATTCCGATGACGAAGACGAGTGGGAGCGCGTCGTCCCTGGGCCTGCCGCGACCACCGTCCTTCTGTCCTCCCAGCCCGCTGTTGGGAGCTCCGTCGGTGAATGGTTCGTGGAGCGCTCCAAGTTCATCCCTCTGCGCCTGAACCTGGGCGAGCGGAAATTTCTCCGGCTCCTGGAGGCGGCACTTTCCGTGTCCGAGTACACCGACAAAATCGATACCATTGGCTTCAGCATGACCAAGGCGAAAAGAATTGTGCAGCAGATCCGGGAGCTGTGTGCCATCATGTCAGGGTTGCTTCTGTCCGCAGACTACAAGCGTGGACAAGAACTCTTCACGGACCGGGATTTCCAGGCCAACGCCGAGTTCTATCAGCAGATCTTCGAGCTCGGGCGGCGACACAAGATCATGAATCCGGACAAGATGCGGACAACGTACGGGAAACTCATCTACATGCTCCAGTTCGTCGTGCGATGGCCTCTGCGTCATGAAACGCACTAACGAAGCAGAATTCAGGGACAGCCAATCATCCGAAGTCAAAGATCTGCTTAATTTCACTTGCGTAAGACCGATCAAGAGCGTCTACACCAAGCTCGAAGAGCACAGTGCCCTCGAGCTTCTTCGTGATGACCTCATCACCACTGCGACCAAGGAGATCTACGCGGAGGGCCGCTCGCGACGGGATATCCAGAGGGAAATCAAGTCCAAGGAGCGCGCGATTGAGTCCCTTGCTTCTCGATATGGTCGAGACGGGCTGTCCCCTGACGACGTCCGGCTCTGCCTGTACAGCATCGGCGACAACCACGCCTTCCTGCGAACAAACCGGGATCCTTGCGACCGCATGCTTTCCTATCTTAAGCAGTATTTCCACCCCACTGACGGCAAGGACTCCAAGAGCAGTCTAGCTATCCGGAGTGGCAAGAACGGCGCCCGGCTGTCGCACGACCACAGCAAGCAATACGCCTATGTGCTGCAAAGTCTGACCCTGTGGCGAGAGATCCTCCACGACATGTTTCATTTGTGGGTGCTCCCAACGCATGATTATTGCAGCTGCGGTCAACTCGGATTGCAGATGGAGCATGGCCGAGTCCGACCTTCTCGCTGAAAAGGTGCCCTACCGGCTGAGAGACACAGGCCAGGGCCTCAATCGCGTTCAGGCTGCGCCGAAGACGTCGAGGCTCATGCACCAAATCTTGAACAAGGCGCAAAAGAGTGTTGGACAGTGGATTGGTTCGAGGTAAACTTCGCTGTTGAGTCTGGATCCTTTATGTATCGCTGAAAAATCTCGAACAGTGTGATCGTGCGTGAAGCCAAAGTCTGCCGTGATTTCTCCCGTTCTCACTCCCTTGCAGCATATGGGAGATCATAATGTGCCCAACAGGTCAGCCTTGGCCGACGCCAACAAGCTCGTGTGCTGACTTTCCCACCGTGTAGTTTGATGTTCATCGACAAATACACTCAGATCTATCGCATTCTTCTCCCGATCTGCAACACTCTGTCTCAAATCGATGGCCTCGCAGCCAAGCCAGCGATTCGCTCATACATTGACGATGAGTTTGGGTCCCCGGATAATCTGCGACGAGAGATCTTGGGGGACTTTTTCCGGCATGGGTTCGATGGTCAGTCTTGCTTCCTTCCTTCCTCTCTCACGCGCCCAGCATCTATCTAACGGAATGTTCGTTTAGGCTCCGGCGGTTCGTCATGTTTTCGTGCTCGCTGTGGCGTCGACTGATCACCCTGCTTCCAGCGGACAACTTCTTCGACGCCGGCAGTTGCATCGACGGAAGGCTGACCAGTGCCTGGAACTGGTGTTCGACGTTAGAGAAGAAGCGGTACTTTCACATATTCCTCTTGACTGGTGAGCATGCAGTGCTGCACGCCTTGGTGATACAAGCTGATCTCTCTAGGTTTCTCCGGATTCGATGGCGAATGGTAGAGGCGCAAGGCTGTTTTCAATAGATGCTACATACATACACTTAGAATCAAGCAGCCACCTGTGCCTGAAGAACACTGCTCGGCACGGCCTGCTTCCGTGCTGCAGCAACGACGTCGAGTACACCAGCGAGGCCCGTTTTCCACGCAACTAGTCGCTTCTCCAGCAACTCCCACTGCTCCTTCTCAAACGACCTCGACGTCGCACGGATCACACGCACGGTCTGCGCCGTCTGCGACAACTTCCCCGAGAGAAGCCCCGCACGGATGACTGATTTCCGGGATCATCAGCACAGCAGAAATCGGGGTCTGATCTTGTCCACGTACCGTCGATGACCCATTTTTCGACCTCGGAAGCCTCGACCTGGAGCGCTTCCGCGATTTTCGAGTATGGCAGATCTTGCCCGATGTTTTTGAAGCCCAGGGATGCGAGAGTGAGGAGACGGATCTTGCGTGCCAGTTGAGACTTGTTCAGGTGATAAGTCTCGAATGCGGCAGGATGAGCATCAGCCCACGCCGAGAACGCGGGCAGACTGTCGTTGAGGAATATGTGCAGAAGCCCGAAGAGTTCGTGGTCCTTGGCGGCCACGACCGCATCGAGCTTGAAGAGAGGATCAAAATCGAAGACGAACGGCAGTCGGAGTGCGGTGGCGATGAGCTCGACCGCCGCTGTTTCTGATGATGGTGAACCGGCAGAGAGCGACCGAACATATGCGATCGAGTATTCATAGGAAGTGGGGCTGAGCAGTTGAGTAAGCTGATGAGCGATGCCGGGAGGATGAACACCTACAGCTGCTGGGCCTGGCGGTACGCCTCCGAGATCAACTTCAAGAAGCTGCTCTTCTCCTCGGCAGAAACGTCCCACTCGAGCAACCATCTCTCGACATCAACGCGGGTGAGTTGCAGGGCCTCGAGTTCCTCGCGAGAGGTTGCCAGTTGCAAAATGGTGGTGTATACTTGGAGACGTAACGGAGATTTTCGCGGCAGGGTGTTGAAGAGGTTAGAGAGCCTAGCATTCGATGAGAACAGTCGTGAACGGTCGAAACTAGCATATGTGATGCGTCGTCGATAATGGCACCTACAATCGGTATTTGATGGTGGCTTGCTCGACCGGGGCAGACGAGATAGTTTTGATCAGTGCGGTGACGGATGTCTTGACGTCGGGCGAGTCGGCGGGGAACAGAGTGAGAAGGTGAGCGTATATTAAGTTGAAGAAGCCTTCGATCTCTAAGGCAGGGTCAATCCATCTCGACTGCAGACGCGTTAGATGTGGATTGCCGACGCACCTTTTTCGGAACCCTCTCCCAGAGACTGGACATCGGCCAGCACCATCAGCAAGACCTTTCTCCTACGCTCATCATCCTCCGCAAGGGGCGTCGCATCTTCTTCAGTTTTCAGCGCATCTTGGTACGGTCGGATAGACGCAGGGCGCTCCTCCTCTGATTTGCTTCGGACGACATAGTTGACAAGCTCTTGGATCTGGGCCGCGACATAAGAGACGATCTAAAAACGGGGCAGGGTAGGCTGCACCTGCTCTTCAAACGTCCCTTCTCCGAAGATAGCGACCGAATCTGAGGACATTTCGGGAGTGGCAGAAATTTCACGAATCTGGTAACAGGCGCAAGCAGCGCGACACCGCCATGAGCACCGCCACCAACGCACGTACCTATGCTTCGCTCTCTCGCGCGTCGCGCGGCCATCTCCTCTGCGTCACCAGCCCCGAATCCGTACACTCTTGGGCCTTACCAAGTATTTGACAGGAATGTCAAGAGAATCCAGAAAGACCGCGCTGCTTTACGCGAAGGCAGCAGGACAGTAGATTACGTGCGTGACGAAGTCGCGGACCGAATGATGGAGAGGTTCATGGTAAGTGCAGCGGTCCGCTCTATTGGCACGCTCAATTGTGCTCAGGACATAAAAAGAACGTTTGGAACTATCCTTGATCTGGGGTCTGGTCCAGGGCACTTCACGAAACTTATGGAGCCTGACAAGGCGCGTAAGGTTATTATGGTGGACTCTAGTGGTTGGTCAAGTCCATCTGCTGTCTCTTACGCTGCTTGAACTGCTCTGCCTACCAGAGAACACCCTACGACGCGATCCGGACTCGGACTTCGAAGGTTCGCCGCTCGCCATGTAATATGTTGTTGCGGCCTGATACTCATCCGTACTATACACGTAGTGGAAGTCGAGCGTATCCACGCAGACGAAGAAAACCTGCTCCAGATCGTGGAACCCAATTCGCAGGAGGCCATTGTGTCGTGTCTTAGCTTGCATTGGGTCAATGACCTGCCAGGTTCTCGTCATCTTCAGTACGTGTTGCGCGCGCTGCTCACGTTTGGGAGCAGGTACTCTTGCTCAGATACGCGAAGCGCTCGTTCCAGACGGACTCTTCCTTGGCGCGATGCTTGGCGGTGACACGCTATTTGAGCTCAGGACTTCGCTGCAGTTAGCGGAAGTAGAACGAGAAGGCGGGGTCTCTGCCCGTATCTCCCCAATGACCGGTCTGCTTTCAGGGCTTTCCATTCTTCCGACCTTCTTTGCTTATTCCAGCTCAGACACACGGGATATCTCTAATCTAATGGGACGCGCTGGCTTCTCGTTACTTACCATCGACATCGATGAAGTCAAGGTCGCCTATCCGAACATGTGGGCTTTGATGGATGACCTTGGTAGCATGGGGGAAGGCAATGCTATTCTGGGGCCCAAACGCGCCCTTCGAAGGGACACACTGGCAGCTGCGTCTGCGATCTACCCAGGTGAGTTAGACCACTTCCCACTCGCGTCCTGGGTCGCACACATAAGGACCACAGCACTTCATGGCTCGGAAGACGGAAGTATCCCCGCAACGTTCCAAGTAATATATATGGCAAGTCCTCTGTCGTTCCTCGTCTCAAAGAATAATCGTTATTCGATCTAGATCGGCTGGAAGCCCGCACCTAGTCAGCCCAAACCATTGAAGCGTGGCTCGGGTGAGGTTTCTCTGAACGAGGTCCTGTAGAATGTAGCATCGGGTCGATGTAGTATGAGGTGTTTTGTGCCGGCTGCTTTTCTGGTACACCTTTCGATGCGATTGCACGTTGGATCCGGCAGTGCAGTAGGACTGGAGTGCATCTTTCTTCGCTCGCCATATTTGTTCCGGAAGATGCCGCATATGGCAGCTGGGCAAAGATTTGACTGTGAATTTGGGTCCAGAAGATACTTGTGACGATCAAATCTGCCTCGCGATCCTGTATATCTCCTTCCCGCGAATTGTTCTGTGCATACTTTCCGACGCAATCCTTCAAAGCTTCAGCCGCTCAGAAGTCTCAGATGCCTGTTTGTCTTTCGAAGTCCTTTCGCAGAAGCCCCGGATGGTGTGTGCACGCTGGAATTTTACCGAACCGCCACCAGGCGCGATTAGAGCGCTCGTGGCCCAAATGAAAGTCTTCTGGGCAGGATATAAGTGGACCGTGGAGGTCAGAGAATATCAAGACGATGCTTTTCTTCTTGGCTTTGGTCCTCGACTTCTTTCTGGCGGCCAGTGGCGCGCTCGTGCCGGACCGTGTGTCCAGAATCAAGGAATCTATCGACGCCCCGCCTGCGGGATGGACGCGGATCGACCGAGCGCCGCCTCATCTGTCTGTGCGGCTGCGGATTGCCTTGATGCAGGGTCAATTTGATGAGCTTGAGCGCCGACTGTATGAAATCAGCGACCCGGACCATGCTCGCTACGGCGCGCATATGACGAAACAGGACGTCGAATCGCTCGTGCGGCCGCGCTCGACGACGCTGGCTCTCGTCGACGAGTGGCTTGCGACATTCGGATTCAACACAACCACTCTGGACCGCTCGCCCGCTGAGGATTGGGTGACGCTGACGGTCCCCGTGCTTATTCTGGAGCAGATGCTCGACACTGTGAGTTGTCGACCCGCCCGTTGACAGCAAGCACTGAGCGGATCTGCAGGAATACTTTATCTGGCGACACGACGACGGGGAGCTTCTTGCTCGTACGACGAGCTACAGTCTGCCGGGGTACCTACACGAGCACGTTGAGCTTATCCAGCCCACCACGATGTTTGCGCGATCACCGAAGCGGGTAGCAAGGCCCGCGGAGGATAAGCATGCCGTCGACTCTGACTGCGGAACAATGATCACGCTCGCCTGTCTGAGGCAGCTTTACAGCGCGGATGGATACACCCCGAGGGCCCCCAAGAAGAACGCGATCGGCATTACGGGGTTTCTCGATCAGTACGCTAATCACAAGGATCTGGCTTCTTTTTACCGCGATCAGCTGCCCGAGGCTGAAGGCTCGAGCTTTCGGTTCGTTTCGGTGAACGGTCTGTCCTTCTTGCCTCCCCACCGCCGCTGCTGACTTTCCCCGATAAGGCGGTGCGAACAACCAAAGTCTGTCGGCTGCTGGAGAAGAGGCGAATCTCGACGTGCAATACGCGCTTGGCCTCGCCTACCCGACCCCGGGGACGTTCTGGTCGACGGCCGGGAATGGCCCATTCCACCCTGACGCTCGGGTGCATGACCGCACGTACATCTTCTCGGTCTCGTCATTCGATCTCATTTGTGCGTATCAGCGGACAACGAGCCTTACATGACTGTGCGTTGCAAGCCAGTTTGATTTGGAGACCGATCGGCAACTCTTCTGACAGTGGCTTGATCATGTTCTCCGCTCCGACCGCCTTCCGCAGACCATAACGACTTCCTATGCGGACGACGAGCAGACCGGTCCGTCGCCGTTTGCGGATATGCGCAGCTACTGAATCCGGGTGCAGTTCCCAGTGCTTACGCACGACGCGTCTGCAAGCGCTTTGCCGAACTAGGTGCGAGTGCTGTCTCGCCACCCGGGCGCATTAACACCCGCACACACGGCAGGCTGTCGAGGTGTCTCGGTGATATTTGCGAGCGGAGATTACGGTGTCGGGGACGGAGATCCTGAAGCAGAGTCACAGCAATGTCTCAGTACGACGAGGCATCGGACAAGGTGTGTGTGTCTGTCGATGGGTTGTCATTGGGGCTGCAAGATGCTGATATGTCTAGATTTATCCCAGCGTTCCCAGCGTGAGTGGCTGAATGATTATTCAGATGTTAGCCTCACGCCATCGACAATCAGCTCCTGTCCCTAGTGCGCGCTGTCTGTTCTTCGCTCGGGATGTCGTCTGACAAATCGAAGTGTGACTGCGGTCGGTGGGACGATGGGTATTCCAGAGGTGGCGGCCGCTTTCAGTGGCGGCGGTTTCAGCGATTACTTTGAGAGGTGAGCGCCACAGTTGGCTCTATGCGGCAGTCACTGACCTGATTCAGGCCAGCGTATCAGCATAAGGCTGTCGAGAGATATCTCCACAAGCTTCCCCCCAAGACGTACGAGGGACTGTTCAATCGGTGCGTTTGGCAGTCGCGCACTTGGCATGGAGCAGCAGCTCATCTCCGATGTCCAGGGGCGGAAGAGTAGCTTTCCTTTCCTTGGCCCACGATTATACACCCCACTGACGAAGGCTCTGCACAGGGGATCCCAGACGTTTCGGCGCAATCTCACAAGTTCTCCATCTACTGGCAGGGGAGCCCGATCACCATTGGCGGCACCTCGGCCTCAGCCCCGACCTTCGCGGGAATCGTCGCCCTCCTCAACGACGCACGACTGGCCCGGGGCCGACCGGCGCTCGGATTCTTGAACCCGCTGTTGTATAAGCGTGGGGTACATGCGCTGAATGATATCGTCGAGGGGAGAAATCCGGGCTGCGGGACCGGTGGATTCAATGTAGGTCGTCGTCCTCCAGCTGAGATCTCCTGCCAGGGTATTGACTACATCTTCAGGCTACAGAGGGCTGGGATCCTGGTGCGTGGCTGCGCACTCTCGACGTGTTGACCTGCCTCATAGCATATAGTCACTGGACTTGGGACGCCCAACTTCCGGGAGCTCTTGAAGGTCGTGCTGTGAAGCGCTGATATCGTCAATTGCATGCATGCAATGGATTCTGATCTGCGTAGATTGTACATATGAGACTCCGAGAGCGGACCGGCGGCCCCGTACCTATCTTATTGATCGATCGTACTAGTTGTTGACAGCGTCTACCGGCAACGCCCGTTATCACCTTAGCTATTGCGACCGAAACGAAAACCCGATTTTTTTCCCGGACCAACGCCATTCCCTGCTATACCCCTCTCTCTCTCGGTGCCTATTTTTGAAGACGGCTTTTCAAATATGATCCCGCACACACGGACAGATTCTCCACACGCCGGACACGAGGGTCCAGCCGGGCCTGATGACACCGATCTTGCGGCTGGCGTGATATCTCTGATTGCAGATCGTCAAGGCTTCAGGAACAGCCTTATCGACCTGCTTGAGTAATTTTAAGCCTCAACTTGTTGGTGGGTCGCGCGCGCTTGCAGGTCCGGCCTTGCGCCCGTGTTCCCCGCCCGTCCATTCGTCTGTTCGTCGGCCCACGCGACTGTCCGATGCCTGGGCCTATCGTCATTGCCAACACGAGCGACTTCCCGCTGGACCAGGCCATTCCGGACGTGTATTTTACGCGAGTGGAGAACTACATCCTATGTGCGTGCATGCGTTGTTCCTCCGTCTACAGCCCACTTATTCCGAGCGGTTAGATGCGACGGCGACGCTGCTTATCTACGAGATTCTGGTGACCTTTGATCAAGAGGTGGAACGCGTCTGGTCGTGCGTGGCGTGCTGCTCTCTTCCCAGATTTTTTGGGCTCACATTTCGATCGCGCAGTCTCCGATGGCGCCTGCCGAAGTTTCTGTTCTTCCTGAATCGATATGTGGCACGAATACTTCTAATGTGCGTCCTTGAACCTCCGGGTCCTTCGCTTCGTGTTTATTTGCGGCAGCATGAACTGGATCTCGAGCGCGTGGCCGACACCGTCGCCAGAGTTCTGCCACTTATACGTGTACTGGCAAGCAATGTGCGTCCGCTCTCAGCTCACCGGGAACTCCCGCCCCAACTACACATGCCAGTCCGTCACGGCTAGCCATCCTTGCCGCGCAAGCAGTGATGGTCATCAGATTGTGGGCCATCTGTACGTCGTTCTCGTTGCTGCACGCGTCCGGATCGCCGCTGAGCCTCGTCCGCAGATAACAACAGTCGGGTATTGACGCTTTCCAACCTTCTCTCACCAGACTTCCTAAGATTCTCTTAGCTCATGTTCGTGGTTCTGAGCACACTGTTCGCAGGTCTGTCTTGTTATCGGGTGCACGGATGTCACATTGAACGAGCTTCACACAGCGGAAACGGCGGCTCTCGTAGGGTTCTTGTCCTTGGCAATCCAAGAAACACAAGGTCAGAGCGATCAGGTTTGTTGCATGACAGTTGGTAACATATGCGGCGATAGGAGCTCTGGATCCCCAGCCACTAGGATGTGATCTTCGTCCGCTGAGCCCTCATCTAGGCCAATATGCCAGTGCTACTTGGTAACGCATTTCCGAAGCAGATCACGCCCAGCTCTCATCTCCAGCGCAGGATAGCTCCCGTCTGCTTCGAATGTTCGCCCGTCATGATCTGGGTGATCCTCCCGTGCTGATCCTCTTCTCGGGCAGTGATCATTGTCATCATCACATTGCTGAAAGTGACACCTCCTCTCCCCATGAAATACATGAGACGGTGGCCCATCCTGATCAAGATATTCCCCTTGGCAATAGGTCCCGGCAATGTAACGTAAGAGCTGGTCTTTTCCTTGGTCAACGGTGGTCTTGAATACTTTGTAGACTGGATCTGCTTGCCCGAGATTCTCTAATTTACTTCGTGCTGATATTTGGTAAGTGCGCAGGTCTTGACAATATTTTTATAACGGCTATTCCAGCTCTCACGCTTGCCAATGCGCTGTTGTACGAAATCGCGTTTGATTCTTATTTCCGATCTGTCCTACTCGGGTACGCAACCGCGCACATTTCCCCGAACTCATCATGACCATGAGCCAAGCCCGACGGCAGCAATATCGTGCATCGCGGTGTCGAGCATGATTATCAATATCCGCTCGATGCATGGACCCGCAATGAGCGAATTCGACACCGAGCTCCGGCAATCCAAGACCACCACGGCAGAAGCCGGCATGCTCGTTTTCGCCGACTCGTACGCAGCAGACTTCGATGTGGGCATCTCGCCTCACGCGACTTCGCATCGCCCGCGACGCTCGAGCGCGAGGGGACGTGTGACTAGCGAGGAACGAGACGAAGAAGAAGACGGATTGGAGAGCGACGAGTACGAGGCGTACGAGCTGAACGAGGTGGACGAGAGTTCTGTGAAGGAAGTGTAGGATATCTATTGCTATGTATTCAGGTTCTTTGGGGTCAGTGTTGGATATCGAAAGTTTCGAGACCAATCTAGCCACGTCCAGGACTCGAAAAGCTGGGAAAAACGGCGTCAACACACACAATTGAACAAACCATCGTGACCTAAACATTGATCTGGGTCGGTCCAGTGGCGTTCATCCGACGGATGCAATGGAAACAAAGTTGACTGCGGAGCGGGGGAAGATGTTTATATAGACATGGAGTCCACACACACGCGCCACACTTGCTAGGTCAGCAGTGACGACGTGCCAGGCCCGAGAACGTCCGGCGAAATGGTGATTGGGCGTCGGGATGTCGAGGGCAAATCCGACAGCGAGGCGTTGAGACACATCGATGGATATCTGCCAGCATCACGGCTGGACTTGCTGGTGCCGAAGCGCCTTGCGATCGCCAAAGTCGCAGGCTGGGTGTTCGAAAGGGAATCTCATGCGCGGGTTCGGGCTCCATGAGATCTGGAGAGCATGGCGATGAAGGGATGGATCACAGAGAATGGAAGTGAGCCCTGCTGGATCCAGCGAGAACATCAAGACGTGCTGGGAATGCTTGAAAGACAGCCCATCAGAACGGCAGGGCACAAGCACAAGAGGACGCCGCGTGGCCGGCGCTTCAGGTTCATGACATTCAATACTTGCCGGACGAAAGTTTGGCCCGGCGTCCGTCCCCTCTGGACCAGCCATCTAGATCCTCGCCGGAGACTGCGGTGCTATCGACTGGTTTCTGTTCTTGATTTTTCGATCGGTCTATTTCGCGATCGCAATCAGTGGCAAGTACGACGCAGGGACACGGAGCAAGTTCCCGATAAGCTATGTGCTGAACGAGATGCGGAGGGACCGAGCTATCGAGGGATCCGGGTGCAGGGAGGGCTTGAGGAAGAAACGTGACCCCACAGGATCTCGACTCCCAGTCTCGAACACGGTTGATGTGAAAAACCAGATTTGTTGCCGGCGCCCTGATACATATACATAGCTTACAACTTCTGACGCTCGATCGCGAAGACAATTCTCTTCGTTTTCACACCCAAAATCCTCGTCCAGCCCTGGAGTCGTCTACTGCCACCACCACCACGCCCACCATCCCCACCGTATCCCCCTCCTTCGCTAAAATGGCGCGCACGCACAGGCGATCGCCGTCACCGGGCCCCACCGACGCAACGCTCGCGAAGAAACTGAAATCGACGCACGTCTCGCAGGTCCTACCCACGGTTAACGGATCCCCGTTCTCGAACGGGCATGTTAACGGCTCGAATGGACACACACCCGGCGCACCTGTCGACCCCACGTCGCGTTTTGCCGAGGACGTACTCCTACACTCCACAATCGCCAAGCTGAATTCGGCATACGAAGGGAGCGCTCCGTTCAAGTACGCGGTAGTGGAAAAGCTCTTCCAGGACGACCTGCTCCAGAAGGTCAAGGACGAATGCATGAGCGAACTGAGCTTCACAGAGAAGGAGACAGACATCTACAAGGTTCGTCTTCCATCTCGTGCGTGTCTACGTCAGACGGGGACACACTCATAGCGCTGCATTCGCAGGTGAACCAAACCGGCGACCTGGCGTCGCTGAACTTCCTCACGTCCTCCCAAATATCGCTTCTCCCGAATCTCCTCGCGCTGCGCGATGCGCTCTACTCCCCCAAGTTCCGCGAGTTCCTGCGCGCCGTGACAGGGTGCGGTCCGCTCTCTGGGACGAAACGCGACATGTCCGTCAACTCGTATACGCGCGGGTGCCACCTGCTGAACCACGACGACGTGATTGGCTCCCGGCGCGTCTCGTACATCCTCTACATGCCCCTGCCGCATTTCCAGTACTGGCAGAAGGACTGGGGCGGGGCGCTCGAGCTCTACGCAACCGTCGTTGGCCCCGACGGCGAGCGCGAGCCCGTGTGCATGCCGAGCAAAAGCATCCCCCCGAGCTGGAATCAGTTCATCTTCTTCGAGGTCCAGCCGGGCGAGAGCTTCCATTCGGTGGAGGAGGTTGTTGTGGGTGGAGAAGGCGAGGACGGGCGTGCGCGGTTGAGCATCAGCGGGTGGTTCCACGCTGCGCAGGAGGGCGAGGACGGGCACGTTCCGGAACCAGCGGAAGGTGTGCCCAAAAGCTCGCGTGAGCAGCTGGTACGTCCAGTATTCGACTTATGTATGCATGTTCTCCCCGCTCACGATGTGGTCCAGGCTATGAGCTCGACTGCGTTCAAAGAATATCCTACAGATCTAGAGCCTGAGGAGGCCTTGTCGGAGGAACACACGGCTTTCCTCTCCGAATTTCTAAATCCAGTCTATTTGCAGCCGCGCACGATGAAAGCGCTCGCAGCCCGATTCGTGGAAGAATCCTCGCTGGAACTGCACTCGTTCCTCTCCAATGATCTGGCACATGCTCTGGGGCCGAGATTACGCGAGCTGGACGCCGCTGATGGTCTAGGCCCAGATCGACTCGGGAAAGTTCCGCCCCACGAGTCGGGAACAAAGGGAGCGTGGGATATCCGGGGGCCACCCCACAAGTGGCGCTACTGCACGCTTCGGCCCCACGACGCGTTGGCCCCGGTGCAGGCCGTGACACCCCTGGCTGCCGGATCGTCCGACGACATCCTACGGGCTGTCCAGGACGAGCTGTTCTCCTCGCCAGCCTTCCGAGCCTGGATCGCGATTGTCTCGCGATTGCTCCCGACACGATATGCAGTGGAGGCCCGGCGATTCCGGCCCGGGTTGGACTACACCCTTGCGACGAGCGAAGAGAAGGAGGCCCGGCTGGACGTGGTGCTCGGACTGACGCCGGAGGTGCTCCAGGAAGACGCCGGCCCAGATCCAGCAGGCAAGAAACGGACTCGCAAGACCCGGGAGGTCAAGCCCCGCGGCTGGCAGGCAGCAGAATGGGGCGGCTGGGAATGCTACATGGCGCCGCACAACGAGGAGGACGATCCCGCCGTCTACCGCGCGGGGACCATCAAAAAGCCTGCGAGCGCTAATGCCGATACGAACGGGCACGCCAATGGGAACGAGGACATCGAAGATGGAGACTCGGACGGAGAAGCCGAGGGACGTGAATCGATGGAGGTCGACGGTGAAGAGGAAGAGGACAGCACCCTGCTTACCGTCCAGCCGGGGTACAACCGGCTGTTGCTGGTTCTGCGAGACGAGCGCGTGATGCGCTTCGTGAAGTACGTCTCCGCGCTCGCCGAGGGCTCGCGGTGGGACGTCTGCGGTGAATACGAGGTCGGGATGGTCGAGCAGGACGCGGACGGAGATGGAAGCGCCGACGAGGACGAGAACGGGGCCGAGTGATCGATCTACACTATCTTTTCATCCTACATACATAGTCGTACTCATACTATTCAGGGGTATTCGAAACGAACACGCTAATCACGGGGCATGTAGTCTGTATCCATCCGCCTTTCTTATGTATAACCTTTGTTTTCCCCCGGTCTCCCTGGGCAGCGCCTCAGTTCGTTCAGTCACTAGAGGGATGCAGAGTCGATCAAGTGCACCTTCGTTCAACATATAGCATAACAACTTCTTGTCCAAGGCTGCAACTGCACTAGCTGAATCACAATCCTGAACCACAGCATCCGAGCAGTCTTCTCAGAAGGTATGTAGCAGATCTCCTCTTCGGATCTTGGTACTGGTTGATGCTCAGCCGAGAAAACCGACTAATCGGAATGACCACCTTCAGGAAATCACTACACTCCATCAACCAATTATTACGTCGTGCATGCACTCACTAGTGCTGTCCAAAAGTCATTACTGAGATGGCAGGGATGATGCTTCGACGGCTGCATTTCTGAGAACAAACAATTCCAAGATTCGGAGATCTGCAACCTCTTCGAATCTTCTCGTGGTAAAAGTACATAGCAAGGATTACAGAGCGAGCGTACGTAAGATAGATATGCGGCAGTGGCAGAAGTCGAACGAAACAGAATCACTTGGAACCAAATGAGAAGCTGGGCGTAGTAGATCCATTGGCTCCAGCCGCGGGCGCAGTCGAGTTGCTGCCAAAGCTGAAAACAGGCGCAGGCGCAGTCGTCCCTGCACCAAATGCGCCCGGTTTCACACCGAACGGACTGCCCGCAGGTGTCGTCGAGCCACCAAAAGCGAACGTACTCGCCGCGGCAGGTGCTGGTGTGGCCGCCGTTCCTGACGTCGCTGCCGGTGCAGCCGTCGTCGACCCGAATGCACCCGTTGCAAACGGACTGCTGGCCGGTGTCGCAGCGCCACCGAATTTGAATGCACTAGCTGGTGCTGGTGCTGTCGTCGGTGGTGCCGTCGCCGCGGCACCAAAGCTGAAACCGCTAGCTGGAGCCGGCGTCGCCGTCGTCGGAGTGGTGGCCGGTGTCGATCCGAATCCACCCGCGACCGCACCCCCAAACGCATTGGCCGGCGGCTGCTTCACCTCCCCATCCTTCACGTTCGAAAAACTGAAACCCGTCGTCGCTGGCTTGTCAGCAGCACCACCGCTCCCAAATGCAAACGGCTTAGGATCCCCCAACGCGCCAGACAGACTGGATATGGCCGCAGGTTGACTACCGAACACAGACGCCGGGCCAGCACCACCAAACACAGAGGGTGTCTCGGCTGCTTTGCCACCAAACACATTCGCAGTCTCAGCGGGCTTCCCGAACGCAGACTGTGCCGGCTTCCCAAACGCAGATTCCGTGTCAGCCGGTTTGGCGCCGAATGGTGATGCAGAATCTCCAAAAGCAACAGCCGGTTTAGTCGTCTCCGCGGGCTTTGTCGCATCTGCTCCCACCAATGGCGCAGTTTTGCCAGCACCGAAAGCGGACGCGAACGCCGTCGATGAAGGGCCCGCAGTGGTACCGTCCGCTGGCTTAGCACCGAACCCTGAACCACCACCAAACGCGAAATTGGGTGCCTCCGCTATTGGCGGCACAGTGGTCGCAGCTGCTGCTGGTTTGGTTGCTGCCGGTTTAGCATTCGCCGTCACCGCCTTGAACGAAAAGCTTGGGGTCGCAGTGGCAGTTGCATCAGCGCCAGCCGCAGGGGCGGCTACAGGGGCAGCTTTCACCGGAACTGGGGCGGCCAACGCAGCGGGTTGGGGTTTCGCAGCCGGAACACCGAAAGCATTATTCGTCGTGGACCCAAACGCACTGCCAGCAGGAGGAGCAAACGCACTACCACCAGCCACCGGCGGTTTGGGAGCGCTGGAAGGGAAGGCCGACTTTGCTGCTTCACCAGCGCCTGCCTTCTCCGCAGGTTTACCTGCCATCCGAGATAACAACGATCCGCCGGATGCAGGAGCCGGTGGTGCCGGAGCCGGAGCAGTTGCCTTCTGGCCAAAGGAAAACGTAGGTGCAGCTGGCCCTGACGGTGCCGGTGCCGGTGCCTTCTGAGGGAGCCCAAACGCCGTCGACGCCGGTCCTGGCGCTGACGGTGCTGAGGCCGGTGCCGATGTCTTCTGGCCAAATCCAAACGGCGATGCAGCTGGAGCTGGGCTCTGCACCGGCACTTTCTGACCAAACCCAAACGCGGAGTCGGATGTTTTCGCTACTTGAGGTACTTGAGCAGACGGGAACGGATTAGCAACCCCCGGTGCCGGTGCCGGTGCCGAGGCTGCTCCCGGCGTTGGAGAACCGAAAAAGTTGTTAGCGGCCGGCAGCTTCGGCGCTGTAGGGGCCGCCGCTGGTGCAGCGAAAAAGTTGGTTGTAGCAGGCTTGGTAGCGGCAGGTGCAGGCGACGAGGATTTTGCTGCGGCCGTCGCCGGCGCCGCAAAAAAGTTGTTGCCAGGCTTCGCTGGCGGCGCCGCAAACAAATCTTTCCCAACAGCAGCAGCAGCGTTGGGTTTCGCCGCGTCCGCCGCTGGAGTAACAGTTTTCGGGGCCCCCAGTGAGAAAAAGTTGTTGCCTGCAGGTTTATCGCCTGGCCCGGGTTGGGCTGCTGGGCTGCTGGCCGTGGCATCTTTTGCAGGCGCACTACCAAACGAGAACGGACTCTTGCTTGCCCCCTCTGGTGCTGGTGCCGGTGCTGGCACGGCCTTTGCCGGTTCCGGCGCCGTGATCGCAATCGTAGGCACCGTCGCCACCGCCAGCTTCTCCTTTTCCTTTTCCTTCAGCCGAGCCTGGTTCACCTCCCGCATCTTGAGCATCGCCTTGGCCTCGAGATCCTGCTTCTCCCACTTGGAAAACGCACGCCGCGGACTCGGTCGGGAAGCCACATTGTTCGTGCTGTCGACCAGATTCGCACCAGCAGTCCCCGTCTCGTTCCTCAACCCCCCAAGCCGCCGCATTCGGCCGCCTGTTTTCAGGAGCTCAGCCCTGTCGAACGGATTCATTCGCACGCCCAGATCGCTCGCGATCGATTGTCGGAATCGCATGGGCTGCACCTCCTTCACGGGGCTGGGCGTATAACCATTGGGGAACGGGGAGACCGGCGAATCCCACAGTAAGTTTTTGCCCGGCTTCGTGATCGGCGTCGGCGTCATTGGCTGTAGCAAAGACTTCAGCGCCAAAGTTTGCGAGCAAGATGAAGGAACCAAACACACCACTTCGGCGGCCGGTGCTGGCTGCGGAGCCTTGGGCGAATCTTGCCACGCCAGTAGACTTTGTGCCTTGTACTTGTCGTATTCCTCATCTGTCAACCACATCTCGACGCAGACTTCCAAGTTCTCGTCCCGATCCGGATGCTCCGAGTCCAGAGGCTGTCGGCATTCAATACCTATCAGCAATTCTAATAAACGGACCACTCACCATATTGAATCGCTTCGCAGCTTTCTTAACGAGAGCCTGTCTCATCCGTTGTCCGTTCTGTCCAACCTTGTAGTAAACACCGTTGCTTTCCCATTCCTCGCCAATTTCCCGCTGTTTGCCCTTTGCAGGACTGGAAACCCCACCGTCGTCTTCGACAGGTACCAAGCTGCCCTTCTTCCCTCTCTTTTTGGTCTTCCGCTTTCCTGGAGTCTCCAAGACTTCATCGTCGCTCGCCTCATCCCCGTCTCGATCACGGTCCCGCTTCTGGCCGCGAGAAGGCACAAGTGTCACAGGAAGCAGAGCTCCATCGGATTTTCGCGCAGATCGGCGCTTTCGCTTCGCTTTTTTGCCGCTTTCCTCGTCATTCTCCACCTCACGCCCTGTCCGTTTCTTGCCACGCGATGAAGAGGTCGACACCGACGGCCCGGTCTCGTCAGGATCCACTTGCATGTCATTGTCACCATCACCGTCATCTCCATCGTCCATATCCACATCGTGAACTTCCGCCACATCCTTCTCAAGACTGACTTTCCTCGCCCGCTTGCCCCGGATCGGCTCAGCAGCATCCTGGTCCTCATCCACAGCTTGATCCCGTGATACTCGTTTTGAGCCCCGTTTGTGATGCCTGGGTATCCATTCGGCGGCTTCATCTCCGTCGATGAACTCCTCGCCCTCGACGCGTGTCTTCTTGGGATGCTCAGGCTCATCCGATTCCAGATGATCCTGTTCATCCAGAGTGCGTTTTTGTTTTTTGGGCGAAGAAAGGATATGGGAAGAGCGTTCGGCGAATCGGACAGCAGGAGATGGATGGGCCATGCGTGGGCCGAAGGGAGAACTGGAGACAGCAATCAGTTAGTGGAATGGTTGAGCATGAGTATTCAACACGTACGATATTTCGGCACCACTCGCCGCCACCGGGAAATGTCGTCGCTCACGACTTAGAGAGAATTTACCCGGCAGCCCAGAAGTGCCGGATGAACCCCCCGATGCCCACGAGGGTTGCGTGTTCGCATACGTGGCTGTCCAGGAAGATTAGATAAAAAAACGCGGTCGGCAAAGAAGAGCAATCAGCCTACGTTTGCGCTGCCTCGCAGCTCCCTCGCCCTCCCTGTCCGCCGCAGCCTGCGCATATAGCGCGTCGACATCAACCCTCTCCACGCCGTTATTCGCGACCTCGCTCTCGCGATGCGCGCGTAGCGCCGCAGCATGCGCGACGTTGAAGGGCCGGTGGTCGTGGTCAGGAATGCCGAACCGCCGGCGTGTCGCCCTACGCAATCAAACATGCTGTTCAGCTGAGAATAAGGAGCTGGGAGGGAAGGAGACACGTACAGACGGTGCGACTTTTCTCTCCATCGTCCCAACCGGGCCCACACACGCATGACACCCAGATAGCCCATCAACAGCAGCGCGACATAGAATGCCATCTTCGACACGCCCGGCCAGGACGAGGCCGCCGCGACTGGGGCCCTCATGGGTAGCTTGGTGTTGCGGCCCAGGATGTCGGAGGACTCGTCAAAGTCCATGATATGGTAGACCAGCTGCGAGTGTGGGTGGACAGAGACTAGCGACGCGCGGAAAGATGATGCAAGTGATGAAGGTGGGAGAGAAATCGGTTCCGAGTGTGTGTCAGTGTGTACGCTCCATCAGTTTCTAGTCGTAGAGTTCTTGTGCGTGACCGACGAGATCACGTCACATGAATCACGTGGCGGATTTGGACTGAGAACTCGCACAGCTTCTGATAGCCTTGGGATGAAGCATCTTAGCTGAGTTGAGAACAGACAACGTTCGCAGTGATGAACTTGAATCTTGACCTAGCAATGATAAGTACGTGCGTAAATACAGAGATAAGCGACAGAGAGCATAGTTTTGAGCATAGATCGAGAGCAGTAATCAGTACAGAGAGCAGTGTGATGGGTCAATAGCAAGATAACGAAAAAGCGAGCAAGTGGATATACTGGAACAACAATGGTAGCGTCAAGCAGTGGGATAAGAGCATAACATGTGAGCAAAGCGATCATCAAAGCAGGAAAAAAGCAAACGAAAATTCAAAAAGGGGACATCACCGCATGTCCACCCGAGTCTCCTTCCGCGACAGTTGCAGGGGCTTGAGACTGCGGCGACTGCCCGCAGACGATGCCGCGTATTCTGGGGAGACGTTCTCGCCCTTCATGCGGCTGCTCCCGTGGTTTTTCTTCCGCAGCGACAACGGAGGCGTCGAGTTCACGTCCCGGTCCTGCAGCAGAGCCAACGGCCGCAATCCAGGCGAGCCCGGCTGCTGTTTCTGCTTGGCCTTGTGCACAGCGTCAGAAATCTTGCGCTGCAGCTTGGCCGGGCGGGCGATCACGCGCGAGGACCACTGCGCAATCGACGACATCGCAGACGGATTCGTCGCTGGGTCCTCCACCGGAGACGTGATGTAAACGATGCTGGAACGGCGGTTCGGCAGTGGCAGGGGAGGAGGCCGTTGTTTCGAGACAGGCTTGTTGGCTATGTTGTTGTGAGGCGTGCTTTCGGCCTGGGGGCCTTCGCCGTCGAACTCCTCGAACAACGTCGCAGTCGAAGCGGCAGAATTGGGCATCTTGAACGACTGCAACGATTGGCGTGCGGAATGCGGGACATCGGACTGCAGACCGAGTCGACGAGACGAAAGAGCACGAGTGAGCTGTGTTCCAGCCCGAACTTGGACATGGTCAACAGACTCTCCACCAAAGACCGTCACTCGACGTGCGTCGTGATTTTGTAAAGCCTGGGCGATTTCATCAGCAAGAGGGTGAACTCCATCTTTGCCGAGCCCGAGGCTAGGGAGACTGAAGTGGTGACGGCCGTGCATCGATCTCTTCTTCGACCTGACATTCTGCGACCCAGCCGGCGTCGAATGGAGTTGCGGCGATGAGATGTCACCTCCAAATTCTTGGAAAGCCCGCTTGCCCTTAGCGCGGCTGAAGCTTGCAGGTGGCGTATCGCGGATCTTCATGTTACTTCCCACTTTGAGGCCTGGAACCAACAGTGGCAGCATCCCCGCCGAAATGACGTCGATCTCGTTGATGTCGTCGACAGGCCCGAACGAGTATCCAGATGAGAATGACTTGCGGTGCTTGAGATGGGCAAGACGGGCGGCGCGGACACTCGGAGGCGTCGGGGGCAAGGGGAACGAAGGTGGCGGGCTGATATTAGTGTTGCGATCACCGTGCTGAGCAGAAGACGTCGATCGCGTGCGGAGATGTGCCGACTGGCGCACTGCGGTCGATGTTCCCTGGGTCTCCTGCTTTTCAGGTGAAGCACCGCTGGATACCATCATAGTCTGTGCGAGAGTTGAGAAGTGACGGTGCGCAACCATGATCTGTCCGCCAGAGCTCTCGTCCACAGCCGAGCTATGTTCGCGCAATCGACCGAATTGTGCGCTCATTTCGGACTGCGTGCTGTTGTGGATGGAAACCGGCAGAGACGAGTCGTCGTCAGGGATTGGCGTCGGTGGGGCGCGAACTTGCGGGTTCTCCTCCAAGGGAAGGACAGACAACTTGGGCATCGGGGAAATCATCCCAAAGGCTCGCCCAACCTTGTTTCGGCCATCCACAGCATCTCCCTTGGCCAGCCACACATCACCGCTTCGACGACCTTCGACGACCGTGACACTGGCACTCGTGCTGCGCTTGTATTCATGAGACCATTTGCCGTAGGGAGGAACGCTGCCAGCAAGCGGGCTGCGTGTCATGTTTGCTGGCAAGTCGCTCGAGGTGTCGAACAAACCCTCGGGAGCAGGCATCGGCGATTGGAAAATCAGGTTGAGAGCGAGGATCGGAGAAGAGACCGTAACCGAGAGCGACAGCAAGATTGACACGAAGGCTGGTGGGGTCGGGTTCTGTTGAGAAAGAATGAGATATGGCAGGGACAGGACCTGAGAACAAGTCAGAGAGTCGTAACTTCTTTTCAGAAATAAACTCACAACGGGTGCCCAAATTAAAAGCAACCAACCAATAGCGCGGTATCCAGAAATATCAACCTCAGCCGAGGGGGCAGCTGCAGCGAGTGCCGCGAGACTTTTCTCTGCATCAGCATGGAGACCATATCCTCCCAAGACACGGACATTGCCAATGGCAGGCGTAGTCGGCCGTGAGACAGCCGTGTGCGACGGGAGCAGCTCGTCATTCAAGTTGATCGCGCTGACGTTGCGGGAATCAGAGTGATGCCCAATCGAGGAAGGGTACGACCACGCAGAAACGACCGTGTGGGTTCCATTCGTCGATGTCAGCCAGGACGTTTGCGAATCGTATCGCGGCCGGGGAGTGTGGGGCCCTTCGAGTGGCGCATCACGGCGGAAAGGATCCGGTTCAGCCAACTCTTGAGCAGTCGGCGACAGCGGCCCGAACTCCGATGGAACCTGCGGAACGGGAGGCACATCGGATGGAGTCGACGAGTTAAACCAGTACCCAGACTTGGCTGGCACGGAGGGGTGGTTCATCGATCCGTGGCGTCCGCCGTGAGTGGAGGGAGCGTGCGTGGAGAACGACCATCCGCCCACAGAATCGTGCCGCGAGCTAGCGTTCGAAGCGTTCGAGGTAATCCAAGAGGCACCGTCACGGAGCGCATCAACTTCTTCCGTGGCGAAAGAGGGGCGGGGCGCCGGCTCGCTCATCTTCACAGGTGGCCAGGGCTCCGCGTCCTCGTCGATGGCAGCCAGATTCCGTTTGATGGCCAAGAGCGTCTTGACGAGACAGCAGAAGGCAACTGTAGTCGACAAGGCGATGGTGGTGGAATACGACATGACGCCGATGAACAGGCTGGGGACTTGCGCTCCAGAGAGAACGACAGCAATACCCGTGGAGGTCCCAGCCAACACGGTGGTCGGCATCCAGAGCATCCAGTGCTTTGCGCCGAAAGAAATGGGCTTAGCCATGCGCACATGAAGCAGTGTGAGCCCGACCACAATGAGAAGGCAGGATTGCCTTAGTGTCATGGCTAACCACAGCCTGAACGTTGACATGGGATCCAGTGCGGTCGTCACATTGGTTGGTGCACCAGAGACTGTCTGCCACACGAAAGAAGCGAGAGCGAGGATGTCCAGAATTGCCAACCAGAGGTGGCTGAAAAAAATGCGTGACCATGTGTACGTCAAAAGAAGAAAGCAAGCTTACCTCTTGTCGGACGGAGTCAAAGACCTGTAGTTGGGAAGCCCGAATTCGGACGGAGAAACACGTCGGCTGAGTCTATACGCGGATCAGGATGGGTAGAGAAGAGCCTCGAGAAGACCACGCACGGGTGAGGGGGTAAAATGGGAAGTACTATACGTAGAATAACAAAGGCAGAGCATAGGAAGGACAGGATAGCGAGAGCGAGAGCGGGGATGAGTGGGATCATAGTAGTGATTTCGTGTGCTGTGTCTTGAGGGAGCGTCGAGTGCGTGAAGAGCGCGTAACGGGCGTAAGGAAGAGGTCAGAAACAAGAGCCGCGACAAACCACCAACCTCAACACGTGACCATGTTCGGGATAGAGCTTTATCAATCACGTGAATATTCCTGATGTCATCACTGATGTCAGAGCAGCAACAGACACGCACCGCCACTTATGCCATGTGTCGCCCGAATTTGGCCTGGATGCGCGGCTGAGAATGATCTACGCGAAAGTCGAGTACGTGAGGTTTACATTCGTCTGACTGGTGAGTGTCATACACTTTGCCTCATGGAAAGCACCCGATTGAGAATTCCCGTCTTACACCCGCTTATCCCCACTGAGCACTAGGGATGAGCGGTGTGGACTCGGAGGCTTGAGGGAGGCCTAACTTACAACCTCATTTGCATTTATTTACGAGGACGGGGCCTTCGCTGAGGAGCCTGAAAAATAGAAATACCGTTCCACCTGTTCTTCCGACGGTCGGCCCGAGCTTACCCATCATTCGGTCGAAGGCGAGTGCGATATGTTCTCTTCCATCAGAGGGCGGAGACCATCATGGGCTGACGTCGACGGATATACAGGATGCGAATGCTGATCTTGGTGCACCTGAAAAGTTTGTTTAGTGACGCCAGATGCGGGGAACGCAATGACATCCCGATCTTCCGGCTCATCATAGAGCACAGCATGGTCCAGAACAACGGAATCCCATTCCCTAAAGGAGCCGTATCGGGACAAGTCTCCCCAAGAGGATCTCGCGAAATCCGGTTCCCACGGTCTAGGACATCAAATCTATTCCCGTTTAAGTTGCCGCCGGCAATGTTTTTGGTTTAAACCAGCAAGCAGCTTGAAGGATCATCAACAACCAGGCCCCCGCTTCTGACGACCATCTTCCTCACACCGTCCGCCGCACTGCAGAGCGTACGCTCACTGCCACGCATCCCATGTCATCCAATCCCATGTACCAGGTACACCGCCCCTCTCCTCTCCACACGACTGGCGACTCACCTGGAAGTAACAGCACAGGGCCCTGGGTCCAGCAGATGCTCCGGTTTACAACTCTCGGGCACTCTCTGACACGTTGGATCGGGTGAAGCAAGAGTTTGACGTGCTCGCAGGCGAGGTCAACGTGTCGCGAGAGCAGCGGGAACGATACGAGGCCACGAGTGCGTCCCAGCCTATTCTTCGTCTTTATCCGCGTCTAAACCGCGCTGCAGTCACAGCTCAAGCCGACGAGCTGGAAAAGATTCGGCAGGCATTGCATGAGCTCGAGGCCCAGCACAATAAGGTCCGACAACAGTACGAATACGAATTACGGATGCTTCGGTCCGAGACGCACAACGCTCGCCAGGCGCGCCCATCCTCCGCCGTCACAGCACCGATAAACTCGCCCAGTGTCTTCCTGGGCGGTTCCGCCGCTCAGTCTCCCGTAATGGATCCCCACTCGGAGAGACGCGACCGAGAAAGAGACAGGGAAAGAGACAGCCAGCGGGCTCGATTCCTCGATCAAGGAAACAGCAAACGAATGAAGCTCGATCAGCCCGGTGCGTTAGCTTCTGTCAAATTGTATCGTCGCTAGGATCTTACACCGCGGCTTGTCGCAGAGGCGAGTCGACTGCCTCTGATAGGACCTGGCTCGAGTCCGTCCTCCCGCCGCGCACCCACGCCTGCTTCACTGCCACTGCCACCACCTCTGCCCCCTCAACCCTCGGCGCAAGTTATGAATGAATTCCTCGATAATTTAGAGCCGATCTCGGTGCATCCGGAGTTCAAGAAGGAAGGAAGTGACTGGTTCACCATCTACAATCCGAAGGTGAAGCGGGTGCTAGATGTGAACCTTATCCATACATTTGTTCACGAAACGTGCGTAATTCTCTCCACTTCCCTTGGAGTATATCTCACCCTTGAAACCAGTGTTGTTTGCTGTATTCACTTCTCTCATGACGGCAAATTTCTGGCCACAGGGTGCAACAGAACCGCACAGATTTTTAGCGTGTTGACAGGGCATCGGATATGGTATGTCTGGTGACACTTACTTCTTGTCGCGTTCTCACGTCAATCGTCGAACCAGTACGCTGGCAGATGAGACTGCCAGCGAAACTGGGGATCTTTACATCCGAAGCGTGCGGTTCAGTCCAGATGGCCGGTTCTTGGCGACGGGCGCAGAAGATGAGCGGATTCGAGTGCGTCTTCTGTTAGACATGTGTGCTACTTGAGCTGAGTTCCTGTATAGATCTGGGAAGTTGACAAGCGAACCGTCCGCGCGGTTTTCGAGGGCCATCGTCAAGATATCTATTCGCTGCACTTCTCTCCTGATGGGCGACGACTTGCCTCCGGGTCAGGCGACGGGACAGTCCGGATCTGGAGCATGGACACATATGATATTGAACGTGTTCTGACCGCAAGCCCCGAGCTTGACGCTATCGAGGACGAAGGCGGTGTGATGGCTGTCGCGTTCTCGCCAGATGGGCAGATGATCGCTGCCGGATGTGTCGACTCGCTTGTGCGCATCTGGAGCGTGACCTCGGGCAATCTCGTGGACATTCTCCGCGGACATAGCAGCAGCGTCCACAGTGTTGTGTTCACTAAAGACGGCGGAGGCCTCGTGAGCGGCGCCTTGGACAACTCAATTCGTTGTTGGGATCTGCGAGCCAAGTCGAAGAAGGAAGGCGTACCATGCACTATTTTCAACGGACACAAGGACTACGTGCTCTCTGTCCACCTTTCAAGAGACTCGCAATGGATTGTTTCGGGATCCAAGGACCGTGGAGTCCATTTTTGGAATACGCATGGAGTTGTCGAGGCAGTCTTGCAGGGCCACAAGAACTCTGGTGTGTGAGATCGATACCAAGTTGATCATGAGACTCACGCTCTTCCAGTCATCTCCACTAGTTTGCACCCAACCGCTAATATGTTTGCGACAGGTAGTGGAGATAAACTCGCTAGAATTTGTGAGCTTTCCCCTTCGGTGTCCTGTGATGCACGGCTAATCCACCTTCGGTAGGGAGTTACACTCAACCGGCGTGATCATGTATCTGAACAATCCAAAATAATGTGCACCGTTTCTTTGTACTTACCTTGTGTTACTTACTTGCATATCGATCCTCCTCTCTGGGCATCCGTTGTAGAGCGCATATATTCAAGCTGAATTACTTGACATTCGTATCAGTTACCATCCCGAGCTCCATCGCATCCTGTTCAGACAAAGGCTGCTTCGCGGACGCTGTCTCATCAGGCGCTCCAATTCCAAGAGGTCGGTACAAAAACGATGCTGCATACGTCAGCCCTCTCGCAGCGAGCCTAGTCCCGATCCATTGAGCTAGTGACACGCCGGGAACTAGTCCCATCACATCCTTGATGTCCCAAAAGTCCCGATGATGTGTTATCCGGCCTTGTTCATTGAACGAAAGCCGCGTGATGATGTGTAGTTGAAAGTGCAAGGGCGAGGGAATGGTCAGGGATGTCCCTGGTATACCCAAACCAGGCGCAGCGGGATGCGAGGTAGGAAGCGAATGCGATGAGGGCCCCGGCGTTAGTATGAGAGATTCTGATGGAGCCTGTATTCGGTGTTGGCCATCACGGTGGATTCCTGGCAGGATTAGCACGTTCAGAGTGTGCTCTACTATTGTCTTCCGATGCCCATCTGAAGGGCAGCGAGACGTCAATACAGTGAGATAGGACTCAGAAGGAGGAACAGACCGAAGCTTTCTGTCTCTGAGATATCTCCAATCTCGGTCCACACTCGTAACGCCTCGAACAACGGCTCGTCCAGATGCCGTGCCAAAAAGCCTGTTCTCGGAGGTTGTAACCGGAACAAGGTGCAAAGAAGAGCAATGGGCCTAGGCACGTCGATGACGCTGAGGTGACGAGAAAGTTGGTGAATGTCGGTGATCACAGAACGCGAGGTCGCTGTCAGAACGGGGTTCTCGTATCTTTGTGGGTTGGACCGGTGCCGATTGAGTAGCAGAAGGGAACTTACACTAAACGCCAGACTTGAGTCATAGAATAGGACGCCGAAATTCAAGGACTCACTGGCACTGGATTCGTATAGCCGTTCCACCGCGTCCGGACTGGCGTGTGTTTCGCCATACATTGTGGAGCACACATCAACGGCAGTAGCGTGGTTGGACGATAGCAAGGAGACAGACGACTGAGAGTATGAATGCCGAGCAAGGGCCATCGTGTTTTCCCTAGATTGAGAAATAGTTGGGCTCGTCATGGCAGTCGGAGAAGCAAGTATAATCGCGAACGTTTACGGTTGCGACTCGTGAGGTGTTGGGGTGGATCAATCGAGGACCGAAACCCCGATCGCTGGTCAGCTGACCGTTATCAGCGTCCACGTCGGTCCGTCCTCCCCAAGCTTTCCGGATCAATATCGTCGCGAGTTCTACCTGTTCTACCAGTCCGACGCGAAGTATTCGCACGGTCATTCCCTCCGAGTCTCCCATGTCGATCCGAACGCTTTTCGAGGGTATAGGTTGGGTTTCTCCCCACTCGCGGACTCCTTCCCACCAAAACCATGTCTAGCTGTGTTTAGCCCGGACGTCCGTGGGACTCTGCGGTCAATCTGGGGTGCGTCGTAACCTCACCACCGTGGAATACTCTTAACCTCGCTCCAGTGAAGCACGGGGGTGCCATCGCTAAGAACAGCGCCGAATTCTTCCGCGCTCGATACTTCTTCTGTACAGGATTGGAAGACGTGTGGTTTGCACAGTGAGTTTAAATCAAGAAAGTAAATGACTGAAGCAGACTTTCTGCCAGGCTGAAAGCAATGGGCTTGATGGTTCGTTCTCGTTCTTGCTGATCCATATCTTGCGTGTGACTCATGAGATCAGATTCGGCATGCGAGCTGGATTTCGGTATCAGCGGAGGAAGGGCTAGAAGCTCCAGTGTCCAAGTATATACTCGATGGTGCGTCTGTCAACTTCAGCACTCATGGGTGTTTTCCACTGTCATTTTCTCAGAACGCTTTGAGGAGGAGAAGATCCGGTCTCTTTCGGAGGGCTCACCCTCGCATTCCTCGGCCTGCACGCAGTCAAAACCTATGCGTATGATCGAAGCGTTCCCTCTATCTCCCAAACTTGCTCCAGCCGCAAATCCTCTCAAGCGTTCTCTGGACTCAGAGTTCCACGACCAATCTCTCATTGATCTTGACCCTAGACCGTCAAAGCGCGCCCGTTTGCATTCTTGCTCTGCTCAAGACAAAATGCCATCTGCCCAACTCACTGTGCCATCCCCATCTAGCCCCGAGCCCGTTCCCATGTCAAGCACTCCACCGCAAACTGATGCTTCGATTCTGTGTTCTTCCCCAATTCTACCCAATGGCTCTTGTTCCATATTTCCTACGAACACCATTCGCATTTCTTCCATCAAATCCAAAGCTCTGTCGCTTGAAATCTTTCCACGCCTCTCACGCCAAAAACATCACAAGACTCAGTACGCGAAGTCTGTTTTCGAGTTAATCACCGGTGCCAGCGCGCATTTACCCTGCATAGATTCACTCGGATCCATTGCCGCAAGAGCTTCCAATTCTCTGTGACTGACTTGTTGCGCAAGCCTCGTGTCCAAGCGGGTATCTTCACACCGTTTGGACAGTTCGAAGGGAAGGCGTTCTCTTGTTAGACTACGAATGGGTGTAGACTGAATCCGGCCTGTCTATCGTTATCTTGACATGTATAGTACTCGGAACCCGGGGATCATGCGTACCGCAGTAGACGTTGTGTTACTTATGCATATACTTACTTTCCAAACTATTTATGAGCATCTGTCATCGACTTTGAATTTGATGTTCCACTGAAAATGTCTGTAATCGATAGCCTGTGATATACAACTGAGCCCAGCTGATCTAATTGCCGGCTTCTCCTCGTCCTTGTTACCGGACTACCATGGACAAGCTGCAAGTCTTGGCTCCTGTTACAAGGGTGGGTCTTGCCCTTGTGCAGAGTCGAGACTAACCACGGCACAGCTCAGTGAGAGCGTCACCAGAATCTTGGCCCAGGTGATTGATACGATTCGGTTCGTTTCTCTACAACATCAGAATCTGAAGCAATACAGAACCCGGGGAAATTCACATTGCAGGGTATGATGGTCCAGCTCAGTGCAAACCCTCTGGTCCGATAAACAGCCCAAGGACAAATACATATCTCGTGGGAAAGCAACGTCCGTTCACATTGCTCGATGTCGGCGAGGGGCGAGATGAATATACCGCTCTGCTTGAAGCTATCATCAGAAGGGCCGGAATCTCCGAGTCCTCCGAGCCTGATATCTCCGACATTATAATCTCCCATTGGCACGAGGATCATGTCGGCGGCCTTCCAAAGGTTCTCGCCCTCCTCGAACGACTCTGGCACGAACGTCATGGCACTCTCTCTTTCAAACCACCGCGTCTTCACAAATTTCCGACTCAAACATGCCCCCAGTACAGCAAGCTTCCAGCGATCCTCTCATCTTTGCCCCCGAATTCGTTCGTAACCGCGCCCGATGGCAGCCACTTTCACGATCTACGTGACGGGGACGTGCTGTCAGGATTGCATGTGCTTCACACTCCGGGACACACGGTCGATTCCATGTGTCTCTACTTCCCTCAGGACGGAGCGTTCTACACGGCTGATACCGTTCTCGGACAAGGGACCGCAGTGTTCGAGGATCTTGCGACGTATATCGGGAGTCTGCGCAGGATGCTGGACTACGTGAACGAGAGGAAGGCGTTCACTCTGTATCCCGGGCATGGACCCGTCATTTACGATGGACCGAAAGTCATCGAAACGTATATTAAGCACCGGATGGACAGAGAAGCTCAGATTCTGGGCATCATCGGGGCAAGACCTGGGGATAACACACCGTGGACGACGTGGTCAATTGTAGCGCAGATCTATGCAGCTTATCCGGAGTCGTTGTGGCTTCCTGCTTCACGCGGCATTGATCTCCACATGCGCAAATTGGAGGGTGAGGGTGTGGTCCAGCGTCTAGATGGCGAGGGAAAGGACGCGGTATGGGTACTGGCCTAGATTGTGACATTCTTAGATTTCCGTGGCTCGCAGTGATGTTATTTGAGAGCAGCAAGCTGCAAGCAAGTTGCGGCCCGGTTGGCGCACAGCTTAGCTAATACTTGGCACCGATGGGGATTTGCGTGGTTTCCTCTTATCCATCTCTTCGCACTCCGTCGGGCTTCCTAGTACTATCATAGCTGCCGATCTCACCATCAAGCGCTCGCCTGACTGCGAGCCGCATGGTTGGTATCATGATAATTGGCTACAACGCGTCATCTTACTTCTTTCGATGCGTCTGTGGATGTTATCTCCTCACCCGTTTGCGCGGCCGTGAAAAGCGATCATTGATTTTCTCCGGACGCGTTAATATAAAGCTGGGTGTGGGATTTGTATGATGGTTTCAGGGAGAGAAGATGTTCGACTTTGCTCTACTCGCCGTTCTCGTCCTGTGCGCGTCGCATGGCGCGAGTGCTATCGGCCCGGCAATGCCAACTTCCCGCGCAAGCCTGTAATTCCGATACCATCCATGCACGACATTGGACCGGTGACAGTCGGAACGGGACCGCTCTGCCGCCGTACACAACGACATACTCTTTCCAGCAGCTGATCGACCATAACAATGTGCGTCTCATCCCTATGATCCGCACTCTCGCTCAGTTTCTTTCCAGCCGTCGCTTGGGACCTTCACTCAGCGTTACTGGCAACACCTATGAGTTTTATGAGCCTGGTCAGCTCTCGTCTGGTCTTCGTATACCTTGCACTTATCACGACGCCAGGCGGCCCGATCATCTTCTTCACTCCGGGGAAGCGAACGCAGCTCGTGAGTCGTCCACGCTCCATTTCAATATCATAACCTAAATTATCCCATCAGCCTATTCTGGCTATTGACCAATCGGACTATCAACGGTCAAATTGCGCAGCAGGAGAACGGCGCGGCAATCGTCCTGGAGCATCGGTTCTATGGTCTGAAGGTGACTAAACTTGGCTGTGACTGGTTTTTTGATGATGTCACCTGCAGCACCCGCTCCCGGAACTTGAGCGTCCGCAAGTCTTCGCCTGCACACAATCCAGCAGGCGATCGATGA